TTTGCTGTTGAGTAGTGCCAGTGATCCCCTGGGTACATGCCTGATGTCCCTGGAGAACATTTTATCTTCAGTCTGAGTATCCTATGAAGGGTACTGCTTAAAATCATTAACCTCTCTCTTAATTTCTTGGGCTGTTTTGGTGGGTTTTTAAAAATTGTGGCACATTATACTTGAGTTTCTAATACAGTGTTTGTTAACAGTCAGTTTAGAGTCTTCTAGTAGTCTTTTCAGTGTGTGAATTCCAGAGAATAATTATTAAAAAAATAGTGAGTGAAATATAAATATGTTTACTTATTTCATCGTGTCACTGTGTCTTCCATTCTGTTGAACCTGTGCCCATTTACTATGAATTATTTTTGTCTCCCTTAACCATTTGCTATCCCTGTCAGTTTATAAACTCCATGTTGACCCAGTTTCCTCCTCAGTAACTTACCATCTAAATACATTCTGCAAAGCTGTACTTTTAGCTTGATCAGAACAAGAATGCAACACTTCTTAGAAACATTATACTAATTAAATTTAGATTTAATGATTCCTGTTTGTGCATATACGTCAAAACTGATCTCTTACTGGCTATTACCTACATTTTCCCATCTTGCAAAGTTTCTCCATAATGTGGGAACTCAACCATAGCTAATATTGGTTAGTAGTAGTGTAAAATTATCTGTTGAAAACGAAAATTGAAGCATTTTGGATATCGTATTAGCCACAGTACGCAGATAAGAAAGGAGAAAGAAAGCCTGAAGAATGATTTTGTGTGACAGAAAGAGCCTCAGAATCCTGAATGCAGCATAAATTTTAACAAATCTGTGTACTGGCTTCTTAAAACCCATAATGCTTTCATGCCTGTATTTGGATAACTTACTCTCCAAATGAAAGAGTATAATTATTGTTTCTTTTCTTTAAAAAAAAAAAAAAAAAAAAAAAAAAAAAAAAAAAAAAAAAAAAAAGTTTGTTTATGCTTTGAATATTTTGGCAATGTTCTTGCATGTAAACTTTTTTTTTTATATTTATGTGCATAACTTCAGATAGGATGGATGGTGGTGTTTAACTAAAAAGGACTGCATTAGTAGTCCTTTTATCATCTAGATAAGCAGCAGCTGGGCTAGTTAGTACAGATAGTGCTTTAGCTAACAGCTGGTTCTTATCTGAATGACAAAAGGCCAGGGTGAAGACCTTTTCTATTCAAAAAAAAAAAAAAAAAGAAGAAGAATGTTATTTCTAGTTTTATTTTAAGAGAATGGAGAGAAAAGCAATACAGGCAATCTGCAGCATGTAAGGTTTTCTTGTATTTTGACTAATATGATCGTTTATTACAGATAAATGCTAGGACACAGAGGAAAAATTGTAGTCTCGAGTTGAGGCTACGGGGGATCTTATTAGTGTCTGTGAATCCGTGATGGGGGGAGTAAAGTCCCATTTAAGTTCTTCTGTGTAGTAAGTACCCAGTGCCAGGATAAAAGACTTAGAGTATAAACTGAAAACTCTTTAAACATATCTTCTATTGCAATAGCAATCAAACACTGGCAGATGTTGCTCAGAGAGGTGGTGGAGTCTTGGAGGTATTCAGAACCCAGCTGAAAAAGTCCCAGGGCAACCTGCTCTTAGTGAGTGTAGCTTATAGCAAGAGGCTGGACTAGATGGTTTCCAGAGGATCTATCCAAACTCAGCTACTGCTTGACTCTCAAGTCTTGTACCAAGCAGTACTGCTGCTAGGGTGGCTACTGATAAAACATATTAGGGATGAGTTGCTGCCTGGCTTATTTCCTAGCTGAGCCTTTAATGAAGGTCAGGCATTTATACGTCTTTGTTTGTATTATCAATTCATTATCAGTTCAATTAAATTATACTGACTAACACTAGTATCAGCTAAGAAAAAAAGCTGGGATGTTTAATTCAAGGCCTTTATTAGAATTGCATTAGGAGGAGCAGTTCTTTATTTCAGCTATAATCTTACTTTGGATTGTTGATCTTTTTGTCTTGCCCACAGCACGGTTTCCAAATTAAATGTGTTTTTTCTTACGTAGACTTTCTATTGGCAGTGCAAGGAAAATATTTTTTTGGTGCATGTCACTTGTGTAATTCCTGTCTGATTTTTGTTTTTTTTATGAAAGCCACTGGATCTTCTGTAAAATATTTTTGTAGTCGGCTGTCTATACCTTTGTTTGAACACGTCTTTTTATGATGCTACTTAGAAATGGGAAAAGTTTTCTTCCTGAAAATGGTAAAATACATGATTTACTTCGCATAACACCGCCATTTGATCACAGTGCTTGTCTACTGGTTGTACTTATCCTGTACTTACTCTGTCAAGTTTATATTTCTACGTATTTCTCTGATTCTGAGATCTTTTCTTGGGAGTATCTTTCTGAAAATGTCTTTAGACCTTCCTACAAATGAGTCTGAAATTTGATGGATTGTCACATGAAAAACAACATGTGGCTCATGAAACACTGGACGCTTGTTACGTCAATATAGCACGGGCAGAATAAATCCCAAAGCACTTTATATTTTCATACCTTATTTAAAGGCAGTAAAATAAAGGTTAGTTTATCATTTAATGTATTTATTATGCAAATTTAAGCTCTCAAGCATTAAAATCTCTGTATTTTTCCCCCAATCTGTCAAAATTTAGTGTTCCTACTCTTTTTGAATTTGCCTTAGATTTCTTTACTACAAATATTGTTTAATTCACTTTTCAGTAAAGCTGTCAGTTGTAATCTGCAATTTAAAAAAACTAATAAAACAAATCCTCATTTCACGATTTAAACCTTATTGAGTCTAATTCACTTGCACTGCAAGTTTATTATTCTCCTGCAGCTTGACGTGCCTCCAATTGTAATTGTGTTGACCCTCCGATGCAGTAAATCTCCCCAGTGCTTATCAAACGAGGGAAGATAAGTCTACAATTTGGAACTTCATTAAATCTCTCATTTATATTAAACAGATGATGGCTTTGAACAGAAATAATAATTTTTACAGACTCTGAGACCTCCGATTGTGGTCTTGGCAACTCAAGAATGCAGCATTTTGGGAAACTCCAGTCCCTCAGTGTACGTGGCCACACGCCAGCAGCCAAATGTCAAAAATTGTTCGTCCAGCGGGCTGACTTCAAAGCCACTGCCTCAAAGGCTGTTGTTGAGTGCTTTTCAGCTCTGCAAGCAGATTTTTAGAAATCTTTCATGGCATACTTTTCTTAGTCTTCTGGGAAATGTGGGTAGGGTGATTAATAATGGGCAGCTGTTTGAAAGAAAAAAAAGAAAAAAAAAAAGAAAAAGCAGCATAACAAACATGTTTCTTGTTATTAGAATTCAGGAAACGATGAACTTCTCCTCTTATGCTCATTTAGAGACCAGTCCAGTGAAATAAGCACTCCCAGCAGCTTTGAAGAGTTTGCTGTGTGCTCAGTATCTTCCAGTCCCTGCACACATAAAATGTATCTGTGGGATTTGTGTAGGCATGTTGTTCTTAGAATTTAACTTTGCACATCAACAGTAAAAGGCACGTTGGTGAAAACAGGTAATGATTGGTTGTGTAAGTTCGTACCGTGCAAAACATATCTGTTTTTTGATTTGTTACTTTTTAATAGAACTATATGTAGTTCGTGGCATTTAGTTGGTTTAAGGCTCTCAGTGAAGCTCTTATATAAATCGGCAGAAGGGTGCTAGAGCTCAGGTGAGCTGAGAGCTCCCCAGGCAGGAGGCTGGATGATAAGGGGTCAGGTAATGGAGTGAGTGGCCTCCCATCCCCTCAGCTGGCTTCTGATCACTGTCAATCAAGCTGGGCATGTCAGCTGACTGTTGTTTGCTTGCCTTGCTCTAAGGAGCTGTGTTGACAGTGCCTTGAGCTAATGGAGTGTCTAAATCTAGCTAGATGATACCAGATTGTTTTCTTTCTGGCTGCACGTGGGTTCTGCTTCCCACTGAGATATCTGTGACTCTCTGGGGAAAGCATAATTTTTCCTCTTTTGCTGAAAAATCTGAGAGGTACGTACAGGAAAAAAAAAAAGGATGATCAGATGATCAGGTTCTCCAGTCTAAGGTTGAACTGAGAAGTCGCATGGAGAAGACTTGTGATGGAAGGCCCTGGGATGGGGAAAAGGCCATCCAAGCAACTTTATACTCTGTGCATGTGGCCAAGCAGCCTATCTCCATCCCTCCCTGCACCACCTTCTTCCTTGGCCTTTGCACAGCCCAGGGGGTCTGCCTTCTGCCTGGGGTGCTGGTGAGCCTAGACCCAGCTGCTCTGGTGGAAACCAGGTAGAGACTTTGCCCTGGTGACTTTGCTAGTGCCACTTTGCTAGTGGCTCTAGCAGCGTGCTGCAGCAGTGCCAAGGATTGCACTGAAAGAAGAACATAAGATCCCTGTACTCTGCAGACAAGAATGACAGGGTACTCATCATGAATACAAAAAAATAAGTATTAAAAGTTAATGTGAAACTTGATTTTTCTTTCATTCTATTGTTTTTCTCCTAATTATAAAAGGTGTGAGTGTGTATTGGATGCTAATATCTGTGGTGGAATTTCATGGGGGTTTCTGTGATGATTACATCTGAAAGCAAATTGCACCACTTCAAATAGTGCCGGCAGCGCAATTCCAAGTGGAGTTTCTCCTCTGCACTCTGGCAGAAGTCTTGTTCTGACAAGCTGTCGATATGGGAAAGATGACCCAGCTGTCTACCATTAATACTGAAAAAAAAGCCCTAACTGTCTGTTTAAGAAATTCTGCAACAAAGAGACACCAAAATGCAGTGTGGGGTTTTTTTTTGCCAATTTTCTGCTGCAGGATTTGAAATTTGACAGGGCGCCATAGGAGGTGCAGTGTAAAGTGGCCTACAAAGTTGGTCATAAAGCAGAGCTGTCATTGCAAATTATATTTGTCCACAGAGAGAAGTTCTAGCTCATTTGGTGCCCAGACAGGTCTAGGCCTTAGGCAAGTTGTTATAGTTCCCCCATGCTGCTAAATACACTTTCAGCACTAATTTTCCTCTCTCTGTGCAGCTGGAGTCACCTGGGAGCCCGTCTGGTCCAGAGCTGCCCATAGAGACACTGCTGGACGACAGGGAGCGGAGGATTTCCCATTCCCTGTACAGTGGGATTGAGGGGCTCAGCGAGTCGCCTGCGAGGAATGCTGCACTGAGCAGGATCATGGGTGAGTCAGATGAGCTCTGCTAAATGTGCTTTGTTTTCATCCTTTCTGCAATCCACGGAAAGGTGATTAATGTGCTATTTATGTGGGAGCCAGGGAATATGAAATTTGCCATGACCAACCTAAAATGTGCCTTAAAATTGTTCTACGCAAGTCTTTTGGATACACGTTGTGAGGAAAAAAAAGCCAATAAATCATAGAATCATAGAATGGTTTGAGTTGGAAGGGCCCTTAGAGATCACCTAGTTCCAACCTTCTTGCAATTGGCAGGGACACCTCCCTCTAGACCATGCTGCTCAAAGCCCATCCAGCCTGGTCTTGATCACCTCTAAGGAGGGGGCATCCACAACCTCATTAGGCAACCTGTTCCAGTGTCTCACCACCTTCACAGTGAAGAATTCTTCCTAATATCTAGTCTAAATCTACCATCTTCCAGTTTATAGCCATTAATCCTAATCCTATCACTACATGCTTTTATAAAAAGTTCCTCCCCAGCTTTCCTATAGGCCTTTTCAGCTACTGCAAGGCCACTATGAGGTTCCTACAGAAAGTTTATAAATGGATTTATAAAGTGAATTTCTTATCCCATGGCAGGTCATAGAACAAATCATAGGAGAGTCTACCATGGTTTTCAGTGTCTGATTTGGGAGAAGAAATTGGTTGGCGTAGTCTCTATGTTGGGTCTTCATTATGACGAAAAGTTTCACTTTCTATAACAAATTTATAATTCCAGCATTTGTTCTTCTCTGTTTTAGTCAAATGGAAGCATAAAAATAGACAAGGAAATCTTGTACCCATTTATGCTTATTAGGGTATTTCATTTCTTTGTTGGTTTGATTTTTATTGCTGCACAAGGCACTAGTTTTAAAACCTCTTAACTAATTTTAAGCTAATTTGCTATTTAAGATATTTCATCAGTTAGACCTTTTGTCTAACTTGGTGCAGTTGGGCAACTGTAATTAAAAATAAATCATGTTCTATTTTATCGCCTTACATCTTGTGGAACTTTGAAGGGAGAATCCTGGAAGCATGAAACCTTTTCAGTCAAAGTCTCAGGCTATTAAAGAAGACATTTTTTTCAAAAAATGCAGATCTGTTGAAAAAATTAAGGAGCAGCAGTCTTTAGCACTACTTTCCCTAAAACAAACCTAGCTCTTGTGGTGTCAAGGCTTTAGATAAAATGTTTGCAAAGCACTGTCTTCTGCTTTTTCCATCACTATTTCAGAGGATTTGCAACTCCAACTCCTGTAAGCATTAAGGCATTATTGCTTAAACACCTTGTCCAGTGATGGGAGAAGAAGCCCCAAGAGAGTCTGTGTACACATACTTCAGGCAGTGCACTGTTCTGCCACATCAAAGAAACTCATGACTTGCCACACAAAATCGAAGTAGCGGTTCATCAGTCTGGTATCACTCCTTTAGTGGTAGCCAATAACATATGTTCCTAAAAAAGACCATAAATCTTTCCAAAAGCTCTTAAAATCTAGTGCTTTTGTTTAAATCTACTATGTTTAAATAGGGAAAAAAAAAAAACCTATCCTGCATTGTGTCTTAGTTCAATAACCTGAAATAGATCTTTTGATTTCCTCTGAATCATTCCTTTTTTGTTGTTTTCAGAGAATAGGATCTATGTACAAATTTGGTTTCACGTAGGTTGTGACTTAAATCCATTGATACTTTAGTTGGTAGCACTTGGAAGGTCAAGTTGTGCCTGAATCTTACAGTAAAAATGGTCTGCTGTGGTGTAACTGAAAACTGGTTTTGCCAGGACTAGTTCACTCCCCTCTGCAATCATGGCTTCTTCACAAAACTGTCACGTTTAAAGTCAGCTTTCAGAAAGCAGTCAGTTTTTTATTATGCTAATCTTTCTGTATGAATCAGTACCACTACATTAAAAGCACACTGTTGACAGTCTTTTACTGCACTCCTATTTTCTTGTAGTGCTGTGTAACAGAGCAATATTATAACCAGTTGGCAGAGACCTATACAAATTAGTTTGTTTCAGAGTAGCTAAAGTTTTAAGGCTCAAGCATTATCCACTGAACATCCTAAATTCGTGTTTATAGTGAGAAAAATCTCAGCACTCCTCTTATTTTCCTAGGAAGTTATATGCAGTGTTGCATCACAGAAGCTTTCCTCCTCTCTTGAAAATTGGCCTAAAAGCAAGGATTAGTTATAGAAACAGTCTAAATTCACGTGTCTGCCCTCCCCATTCTGTTTCTGACAATGAAAAACAACTAAAAAAGTGCTTTTTTAATCACTTTTTGTAGTGCTGATTCCCTTGAGTCCTCTCCCAGTACTGAGAACCATCTGAATCACTTGGTGCATTTTTACATAGCCCTCAATGGATTGAGCTATACAAACTTTAATACTCCTGATACCTAGTAGCAAAGAAGTCCCAGTTTGATTTCATGTGTGAGGTAGTGCCACTTAATGCTTCTTTTACTGCTTGATAAAATCAGTGGTTTTAAAGTTTTTTCCTTCCCAATTCAGACCATTCAAAAGAAATAGTTCAAAGATCTGGAGAATTCCTGCTCTTTGCAGTCATTCCTCAAGGTTTGAACAAGACTTTTAAATGAGTTTTGCTTCCTTTAAATATCCGTCATGTACTTTTCAGGGAACACATTTACAACAGTTTCCTTTACTCCTTCAATCCATAATGTGCAGCAAAACCCCTGATTAGAACCTTGCTATGAGAGTGGGAATAAAATATCTATTTTAGAATGTGATTTAAATTATGTCAACTTCTGTTTGCTTGCTGGAGAAAGACAACATCTCTTAATTTTTTTGTATGATTCTTACAAGAAGCTACCTCTCCAGAAGATTATTGCTACTAATTTATAGATGCTCTTACACTTTTCTGCTTGATATTTAACTGAATTTTTTTGATGAAGAGACGAAGTGCTTGTGTATCCAAGGAACACATTCTATATATGTACGGAAGCATTTCCTGTATTCTGGAAATCATACAATGAAGGTATTATCTCCCAAGAGTTAGATAGCTTTAATAAACCCTTAGGTTTATTTATTTGTTTTAATATGTTCAGGTTGCAAGATGATAGTACATTCAGAACAGTAACTGTGTTGTGCTAGTCTGCTTGTCTCTGTGATTAAAAATTCAAGTCTTTTCTTCTGATACACCGTCCCTGTATATTATCCATTATGCTCCTGTGTTTTGTAACATGTGAATACATAGCTGCTCTCTAATAAATTATTCTTACTCAGGAAACAACTTAGTACAAAGAGCTCTTTTATGTCTTTCATCCAATTTCTGATACTTTTCATGAGCACAGTGGGTTTTGTTGCCAGTTGTGACTAAACAGAAGTTATTTTTTAGGGGGTACACAAAGCAATAACAACTTGCACTGAATCTACTTTTCGTCCTGAATGATCTCAGAGAAGTTTGTAAAAATTGTAGTTACTACACAACAGGCCATACTTTGTTTTCTGCATAAATAATTGCTATCTTCAGGATAGAAATCAGGAAGAAGCACTAAAATAAATAAATTAGGTAGAGGTACAAAGTATTTGTGCCAGTGAAGTGAAAATAACCCTTTACAAGCACAATAGAGTTCCCCAGCTGGGAATCTGAACTGAAGGTGGTTGTCTACTCCAATAGTCTTGACAGTTCTGAGCACTCTCTTGAGATCCAATGCCTAGGTATTGTGGAGACATATAGTCCTTAGATGTTCTCATAGTTCTATTCCCAATCCCACCTTTATTTAACTGGGAATATTAAATGATGAAGCCATCTGCAGGAAGTTTTGCAGTGGCTCACTACATATATAGCTGGGAATGAGTGAACAGTTAGTGAAAAATAAATAAGTGAAGATCTGGAAATGTTCTAATTTCTCATTGGACAATTCTTCGTAACCTTCCTCTAGTAAGTCTTATCTCTAGTAAGTCTTATCTCTATTATCCATATCACCATCACTATTTTCTTTTTATTGTTTCAATCGTTATTGTTTTGTCTTCTGTAGCTGTAGAAATTAATAATCAGCTTGAAGTTCTCAACATATTTTTCATTTTCTTCTAAAGTGCTTTAAGTTCATTAAGAATGACAGAATTTATATATTTTTAGTTGTACTTGTGGAATAAGCTTGGAGCATAGCGTTGATCTGAATCCCACAGATTATAATCCCACAGTTTTCAAGGTCAAAATGCTCTCACTCATAAAGTAATATTTGGTTTTAAATTTATTTTAAGGATACTCTACAGGTTTCTGAAGCCTTCCTTTTAAGGAAAGGGAATAGTAAAAACAAAAATCAGGGCAGATGAGTTGGTCCTCCCAGTGCAGTATAGTCAAAGCCAAATTATTCTAACAGATCAAGTAAACTTGATGAATTTTTAAGATTTAAAAGGACCTTTTGGAAGCTGGTTGGTTTCAGTGTGAGCGTGTTGATCATTTTATAGGCTATACATGCTGTTGTTTTGCTTTGGTGGTTTGTTTGTTTGTTTAAATTACTTTATGTTTGTGGCTTAATTCACATCCAAATTATGGTCAGCTAGGAAGCATTGCTGTTTGACATGATTTTCCCTGTTAAGTTCCATAGACCTGGAGACCAGTCATTCAGTATAGGAGTTTAGCAACTTCTTTTTCTGAGCAAATGTTTGGGAGCTGTTCTTACCCCATACTTTGATTGGGTCCTTGGGCTACACTTGTTTAGATTGGTTACTGGTGCGAGAAATTTGAGCCTTGTTGGCCTGTGGTGTGACACACCTGAAAGGAAGAATTTCCCTTCCTTATTACACTGTACAAAGTAGTACATACTATTACAGATTACCTCACTGAAGATGAACTAATATATGCAAAACTGGACTTGATGTTCATTCAGGTTCTAAATTTAATAGCACTTTTCTAGCCCAAGAGAAAATTACTGTCTTGGAAAGGTTTGTAGGCAGCTTGAGTAAAGTCTCAGTTTTGCAGATCAGTCAAATATACTGATGATTACTAGGTTTGAAGTTTCTTTGAAGTTCTTTTGTAATGTTTCTCACAACGCTCATGGAGTTGCTTTCTCCAGGGGTATTTTATATCCACTTCAGCTAAGCTCTCTACAAAGAATGTATTGAGCCTTTTGCTGAGGTATGTTGAACCATCTGCTGGGGGTGAAGCCTTTCACCTGCTTTTAGCTTCATCTGCAGTGAAAAGCACAGGCATGTCAGATGGGCTTTCTGCCTAATTCCAAAGCAACTAATAAAATGTCACTCTTCACCCTTGTCAGATATAAAGAAGGGTAGTGAAAAGTTAAAAATGTTACTGAATTACTGTAGCCTCTCAAATGGGAAGTTCAATCTGCAGGATGCCATAAGGTTATACCTTTTCTCAATCAGTTCTTTGGAGGCGTTATTAACTACAGAGTTAACAATCTTGCAGACCTTATGTTTGGAAAGAAGTACCTCTCCAGGATAAACATGAACCTGTCCGTCAAAGAAGCTATTGCTGGGCATAGAATCAGCTGTTATGCAAACTGAACACATTCACCTCAGGTTGACGTGATGAGATGTTTGTTACGCAGGGCCTTTTCCTTCTAGGCGCTTTCACCACTTTCACCTTTTTCAAAGATCTCTTTTGAATCCCATTTTTCTCTCTCTGGAAAACTATTCAAAATGTATTCTCTAGTGTAGTGATGATTTTAGCCAGCCATGTAGTAATTAGCTACTTACTCAATATGTTGGTTACTGATGTTGTTTAGTTTAGTTTAGTTTTTTCCCCCTCCATAATTGCATGCAAAAGCAGTAACAGTAACTCAAACATTTCCCGGAAAAAAACAAAGCAGGAAGGAGGAAGAGGGAGGAGCAAACAGACTGGGAGTACATCTCCCACTAATTCTATGCAGTCTTACAACTTCTCTATATCTGTAATAAAAATAAGGTATGATTATTACCTGTGAGTTATTACTGCAGTGAATCACAGAGTTAGAATAATCGACAGTTTGTTGTCAGATCACTGGCTGATTAAACTATTGCTTTTCTTTTTATGAAATGTGATGTTTTTACTAATTGTTTTAGCAAGAGATACATACCTGGTAGTAAAATTAACGTGCTGTCATGATCATTCATTGGAAATAATATTGTGTGTAGTGTGAGCATTGGCACCAGACACTTTAGATTACAGAGATTTTTAAGTCAAGCATCAATATCCATCAGCAAAAAATATTTTGAAAGAGTTTCCTTCACATAAAAAAGTTATGTGTACCTATCGTGAAGGAATAATAATTTCCGATAATCTCAGATAACTCTATAATTCTAATTTGCAAATCATTGTTTTCCTTACATCACCATTTAACTGTTTCTGAATACTGAAATAATCTGTTTCTTTCATGTTTAGAGCTTAAATAGTGATCGTTCTAGATTTTCTATCATCTTCCAAATTACAGTTATAATAATCCCTATTCTCCCAACTTTGTATGTCATGCATATATCCTGAAAAACTGATTTATTCAGTTTAAACCATAATTACGGTACTAACCATTGCAATGAAAGCGTTACACTTTTTGATAGTCTTTATAGCAGTCTAGTCTGTTTTGATGTTGGATTTCTATAGGTTCAATTGCTTGTACTTTGTATTCATCAGCTTGAAAACTGTACTTCAATCTTATGCATCAAAATACATTGAAATACTGGGAAATATAATGGTGCATATATTGATCACTATAAAAGCAACTGTGGTAGTGGTTTTATAATATTTATGGGCACATTACTTTCATTTCCTCAGAAATGTTTGATGCAAGGGAAGATTACTGACTTCTTGCAATAGACTGCAGGTACAAGCTGTGTATATTACTTTTTAGACCTCGTGCATAGGACGATCTATGGAAAGTGAGACATAGCTAATTTTATTACCTGTGGTGTTGCTCTTATCAGTAGGATTTCTATTTTATCAGTTGTGTTTATATATTATTCAAGGTGCTCTCTGCTATTATTCACTTCTCATTTCTATTTTTTTTCCCTTTTATTGTTCAGGTAAATATCAGCTTTCTCCAACAGTGAACATGCCCCAAGATGACACTGTCATTATTGAGGATGACAGGCTGTCTGTACTCCCTCCGCACCTCTCTGACCAGTCTTCATCCAGTTCCCATGATGATGTTGGGTTTGGCACTGTTGATACTGGTGGATGGGCTAAAGCTGCAATTAATGAGTCAACAGACTGGTAAGGCATGGCTTAGTGGAAGGAAAAAAGCAGATGACTGCAGTTGTCTTTTTATTTAGTTTACTTTTTTTGGTTACTACTAGTATGACTTTTTTTTCCCCTTCACATTTAGATTTCTATCACTTTTCACTGTTTTCATACTTACAATTACCCCTGTTTCAGGAAGAAAGTGTATACACATAGATTGTTAGACTTCTTAATTCACATCGGAGTTTTGTGCTGTCTCTAGGCACGTTTTTGAACTAGCACTAATTTAGCTAGCTACACTAAATTTATGAGAGATGAAAAAAACAGTAACTATTGGAAAATTTAATTTATAATTCTCACTGTAAGTATTTCTAGGTCTATAAAAGAAAGATTTAATTTTCATATTCCAATACATAAATAGGAGTCTTGTAATACTTCTGTATACTTTCTTGACTTTCCCAATAACATACAGTAATTTTAAAATCTGCTTAGAGGTCAAGGCAGCTCTTTATTTTGCTTGTTAGTGTTTATGGTTGCGCAACAAGAACTAGTTGAGTTTTCTTTAATATGCACAAGGGATACCTTTTGTATCATGGCAATATTTGTGTCATGCAAAGGCACTGTACTATAATAATTTCACATTTTTAATGTGAACATGTTTTATCTGTAATAGAAGTAATTTCTTTGCATCTTAAGTTGACTCTCTAATTACACTTACACAATTTAACAAAAGACTTTTAATGAGAAGTGCATTGAATTCCATTATTGGCTTGCTTATGTTCCCAGCAAAGACATACTGTTTATTGCTAAGTACAATTAATACAGATCTCAGATTTAATTTGCAAGTCCTGTAATTATCTATAGTAATAGCAAAATAAAAGCCCACCTCTGTTCATTGCCACTGCTTAAAGCTAGGTAATTACCACAAATGGGATGAAGTATACAAATTTTCCTATTTCTTTTCTCTCTCATGCCTGTTAAGGATGTGTCAGCAACATCTTAATAAAACAGAGATAGCACCTGCCAGCTGATATGTGCCTGTCAGCTTCTTCTTTCATTTATGTTAGTTCATTTCATCTTTTGTCCAGGAATTGAGCTCTGTATTTTTAAACACAGTTTTAATGATTATATAAAAAGCTACTTTTTTGCATCCTCATTTGCCTTTTTCAACTCTTTTGCAACTCTTCTCTTGGACAAGATATACCTGCAGTTTGGGCCCTTAAAAAGGCCACCTGTCTTTCGTAAAAACCTTTATAGCTGCAAATCCAAGATATTTAAGTAGAATAGTACTCAAGACTGCACATAGGGGCTTATTGATTTTTTTTTATGTGAATATGAGCAAAAAAATACAGCATAAAATAAGAGTCTGTTTGAAACCTGCACACGCTTTTACTACATTTGTTTCTGCAGTGTATTTTGCTATTCATAGACTTCTTTAAAAATGAGAGTCACAGTAAAGAAAATAGGGATTAATAGTGCTGAATTGATCAGGCTTAAAACCTTTAAAGAATCTTGATAAATTCTAAACGTCTTCGGATACAATTGCAGTTAAAAGCGTAGATGACTATTGCACCTTGCTATAGAAAATATTTTGTTCGTATGCAAGTAAATAGTGGTGGGAGTGGATTGTTCATTAATTTCCTGCTGCTAATGGGTGAAGGGAAGACATGTAAAATGAAGGTGCATTGTATAATTTTGCTGGAAGGCACAAAGGGTAAAACTAAGAATATGGAGGAAGGGTTATCCAAACAAGAATGGCAGCTGTTCTGAATCACGGAAGAAAATGTAAGCTTTTCCAGCCTGACAATATCTCCCTAATCCTTGATGAAAATGTTATGAAAACAAAGGGGCAATAAGACAGGATTAATAAGTGGAATTTTAATAACATTGAGGGTCAGAAGACGGTTACATTCTTTTAAGGATCAGCTGTCATTCCAGAAACCTTATTTGTTAAGAATGCTAGAATATAGTAAATTGTATTTGGCATTGCTTAATGACTTGCATTAAATTCACCTTCTGTCTTCAGTTAATGTAGTTGAAAAATATTAAAATGAGGCACTTTTAGTGGTAACAGTTACTCCTCCATGCTCACTGGCTTTTCCAATGACTTCTTTTCAGTATGGCCTTTGAATACTTTGGGCAACATATGTGCATTTAAACTCCTGTGATCTGTGTGTTCTGTAATTATTAAAACACGCCTGTGGGTCATTCATCAACCAGGATGTGAAAACTGAGGATGCTACATTTGACTCTGATATTTGTACTCTAAAATCGTATGAGATTTTATGATGTCAGAGAGTAACCAATTTTTTTTTTTTTTTTTTTTTTTTTTTGTGCTAAGTAGCACCCCTAATATTCAGAATACTTTGCAAACATAAAGTAATAATCCTCATAATAAATCTGTGTGGAAGATAGTTGTGATAAGCATAGATAAGTGCAGACAAGGGCAGCAGAAGGAAATCCCTTAAACATAGTGGCAGTAGAAACGTTTGGATCTGGTCTCCAGAATTTGCAATTGCTGATTCTGTGTCAGACCATACCATTCTCTATGTGACCCACGGTGCCCATTCCATGTTTTATTTAACTTTGGAGTTTTTGCATCTTCTCAGGGCTTCAAATGAATATATATATATTCAGACTGTTTTTATATGAAAATGATATTTAACTTTATTAGAAGCTTTATGTATGCTGATCAAAGCAGGCTCATATGAAACAAAGGAGCGTGCAGCCAAAGCAAATAGTGTTAGAAATTCACCCCTTTTGAAGGAAGGGCCTCATGATACATTTTGTTCAGCAAGATGGAGCTGGTCATCTTAAACTAATGTGAGCTGCACTAGCAGATGCTGCTAGAGAAAATTTTCACTTAGTAAAACCACATTTTTCTAGCCTTTGGAGACAGTGCTGACTAGTAGGGAGCCATAAACTCCTGTGTGGCCTTGGGAAAGTCATTTATGATCTGATTATGAAAGGTGTTGAGTCACTCAGAAAACGTTTTCAGACTTCAGGGGTTTCATATTCAGCTACAAGTTGCACTACTGTAAAGGCTAGAAGTATATGTTGGTCTCATCTGTTTTATCTTTCTATCATGTGGAGATAATTTCTTCCCTATTTTCTGAGACTGAATATGAGGACTAAATAGTTATTTTTTGGTTCAGGCTCTGATTCATCAGAGCTTTTAAGCATATGCTTCAAAACGTTGCTAAATTGTGCAGACATCCCTGAAATAGTTGCTGCAATTAAATGTAAAACATTATGAGCCAGAGCCAGAAACATTAAAGTCAAAAGGCACTTGACATTGACTTTATTCATATAAGCTCTGATCCTGCTCTCACTTAAGTATTTCATGCTTGTCACATGCACATATCTTATTATTTGTGAATGTACCATTGCTAGACTGAATTTCTTCTACTGTCTAGTAATGTGGATGGTGATTTTCAGCTTTTATAGTACTTTATGCCTCTGAGCACATTTCCTTACCTCTTCTTCATTGTATGTAACACCTAATACCCAGGTGTTCCAAAAAGCTTCTGTACATTATAGTACGTGGCATACATCAACATGTTCACATTACACTATGTAAAAGTATAAGTCATTTTCTGCAGAAACTTGTTCTTTACCTGCTTCTCACTAGGTATGAATGGTGTCTTATAACTAGCCCTTAAAATAGAAAATAATTCTTTTGAAACATATTGAACAGTAACGTGTATATATAATGCTTTGTACAACATGTACAGTGTTCAGAAGTTTCAGTGACTTTTTTTCTCTTGAAATGTTCCACCATTCAGAGGAAGGAATTCTGAGAGATCTTCTTCCTGCTGGATAGATAATGGTGGCACGCAGTATTTACTGTTTTTTTTTTCCCAGTATTTTATACCTCAGATTTATTTTTCTGCTTGCTGAAGTAGAAATCTAGCTTCTTTGGACTTGCCTTCAGGCTCTCCTTTTCTGGGAGTGAGAAGACCCATTTGTGAATTTCCTTTCAATTGGTCTATTAACAGTAAATGATCTTGCAGTAGTCCTTGAATTCTTTCTTTTTGTTTTTCTTTTCTTCTCTTTCAACATGTGGTATGGCTATTGTGACACTTGGCAAGCTTAGGGTTTAACTTGCACGCCAAACTAATTGTGTTCATTGTTTCTGATTCTACCAACATGAGAACAATATTATTAAATCTATCTTCAAAAAGCTTCCCGTGAGGCATGATGAAACTCTCATTGCTGTTGGCTAAAGACCTGAATTGTGCAGAAGGACTTGAATAATGATGGCAGGGGCATTGGAATGGATCATTTTTAAAGTCAACCCAAGCCATTCTATGATTCGATGATTCTATCAAGCAGACAAAAAGTCCAGCTTAGCGGTGTAACCACTGTGACAAATACTTGCTCTGTAATGGAGCATTGAGTAAAAAATATGCTTGTATGTCAGAGCCAGGTTGAAATCACAAAATGCTATGAAGGTTTTTAAATGAAGAACTTCGGTAATTCTCTGTGGGTTTCAAGCAGGGCAGATTTTATTTATGCTTTTCACAAAAATATTTCATGATTTAAAAAATCTTAACATTTGTTATTAAGAGAACATACTGATTTATCATTATGAAAAAGAAACTGTAATTTTTTCTCTATTAAATTATTCCCGTATTGGGGTTGTATATTCTGATAGTATATGCATAGCTTATTTTTTACAAAAACTTGTAAGTGAAATTCTTGGTTCTCTTTAACTAGAACTGCTTGATGCAGTGAAACAAATTCATCATGTGTGTGACTACTTTAAGTGGTTTATCTGAAAATGTGTACTTTATTATTGGTAGAAGTCACATGCTAAATAAATGCTTTTCTCTGCAGAGTGAAAGGTTGCGTGATTTTGATAAATGTTCGCATGATTTTTTTCCCTTCCTACAGCACTCTTAGTCCAGATGTTGATCCAGTGCTTGCCTTCCAGCGAGAGGGTTTTGGACGCCAGAGCATGTCAGAAAAGCGTACAAAGCAGTTTTCAGATGCCAGTCAGTTGGAGTTTGTTAAAACACGAAAATCCAAAAGCATGGATCTAGGTAGTGAGTGATATTTTTTCAATTGTTTCACTTGAACCTGATTTTCATGTTGTAAGTATTCAGATTTTGTAATTCCAAACATGTCATTTATGTGCAGTAATACTGTGCATAACATGTACTAGTGTGAAGTAAAATATTCTTAACGTGAGTGGCCAACTGGCCTGTGCATTGTTCTTACCACTTGTAAATGTCCATATCTTTAAATATTGGAGTTCTCTGTATATATGTGTATACACAGATATAGAACACATTCATTAAAATGGAGATGAAAGTTTCACTCAACAATCTACATTGAATATCCCTATGTAAAATGTTCCATGCTGTGGTTCTGGATAGACAGGCTTAGTCTCAGTTCATTATTATAATGCAATTAGCCTTAAAGATCCCTAGTAGTCTCTCTTTGTAGGTAGATTTTGATGCAGATATTAAGAGTGCAAGTGTTTTTTTGAAGAGATGTTTCAGAATTAGAAAGTAGAGCTAGTCCTACTTTTGGTGGAGACTCATGTTTTGTATTTATATCAGAAGCCCTAAAAGGTAGCAGCAACTAAGACAGGCAATCAACTGTAATCATTTTAACTGACAAAACAACAGAGAAGAAGCAAATGCTAACAAGCCCATCTCTTTTTCTGCCATTGTATTTAGATTCTGAAGTGCGGAAGCTAGTAACCTTAAACAGTGAGTTTTGATTGTTTAAACACAAAATTCCGTACTCAGAATAATGAAATATAATCAGGTTTTCTCCTTTACAATACTTGTGAATATCTTAACTGCAATCCCTAATTCACCAACTTCTTCAGAGAACAGTAAGTTTGGTGTTATTGACTTGTCTTGATTAGTTGCAATGTGCTAACATGTAAATAACATTGTACCTGCCTGTGATGTGAACATGACTGACATTGCATGAAGGTTACTAGTTTGCTGCCATTTCTATCCAGAATGTTTGCTTACTATTGCAGTTTATATGCATGAAGGATGACATTGCTAAGGCCCCCCCTAACTTCAAAAGAATATACAAAAAAAGGAATGTTGGTTGCATGTGGGGCATGGTCACTAACTGGGCTAACCATTATACATTTACCTTTTAACAGTAGCTGACGAGACTAAGCTCAGTACAATGGATGACCAGAAAACAGGTAAGAATTGACAGTAAGGCTGTTGCTATAGAAACCTTGGTCAAAGCAGCTTACCACAATTACAGAACTGCCAATCAAATTGCATGAAAACATGAATATTCCAGTACTTGCATGGCTGCTTTCTATTGTTGTGAATAATCAAGTTGTAGAGAAAAAGAAAATTCTCTGTAGAGATAAGTATCTGGGGTAGCATATTCAGGCAGGTCATACATCTGACTGTAGGCAGACACCTGTGTCTACACTTTGAACTCATAAATATTCACAGTTATAATGATTTTTGTCCTTTCAATAAAATCTTGGAAAATCTAGCTTCAAACTCAGAGTGACGCTGCAAAGGAGTCGGGTGTTTGACTCTTACAGTGCTAACACAGTGCTTGAAAATAATTATTTTAATTCCAAAACTGCTATCTTTGCCTTAAGTGGTCATCAGATACATGTTGTGAGTTGAGTTGATGATTATTAGTGCAGGTTGATTTGCCTTTGGAACTGAAATCCGAACAGCGAAAGAGAACAAAAGAATATATAAATAGAATCTTTTCCACATACGATTGATGGTAACATTTCACACAATGATAATGAGAAATAGCTTTCAAAGCATATTTTTATTAGTAATTAAAATAATGCACCAGCTGCAGTTATTAGCCTTTATGATTTATTAATACATGTTAGCTTTTGACCTTTGAAATGCTGTTTTAATTAGGCTAGATCCAGAGGACACCATAACATTACTTAGCTCTAATTAGGAACAATTCACCTTTTAAACCTGACAATATTATTTATTTTAGCATGATTTGGGGAACAGAGCATTTCATGCTGAATTTATGATTAATAATTCACAACTTATCTCTGTTTAACCACACTTTACAACATGAGTAGGAATGCTGAGAAGTTGTAAGTAATCAGCTGATAACAGTATATTTTTTGTTAAAACAGCTAAAACTTCTAGCCCTTAAAATACTGTAGAGTACAGTCAAGGACTTGCAGCTTTAGAAGTTGAGAATTAGCACACAAAATTAAAATGCATGAATGTTTTGAAGGATTCAAATCATCGGAGTGTGAAAGCATGAACTGTGTTAATGGTCATAGTAAGAAACAGCCTGGGGACTCCTTCACCACTGAGCAATATTCACAGAAAGTTACACATCAAATTCAAATTTATTGTAAATTATTGTTGATTTTCTTATTGACCTACTTATTGAAATGGGATCTGATTACAACAAGGTAAATCCTATATGTTTTAACAAAATATGAGTCTTGGGTTTAAAAGTGCAGAGTGCTTTTGGTGGTATCAACAGAGTGCAGTTTTTCTGTATGTGCAACACCTGGATTAAATTCCAAAAAGAGACACGTCAGACAACTTGGGTGAATGAGCATGACTGCAACCATCTGGACTAAGCAGTTACATATTTTGTGAACAGCTCAGTGGCAGAAGAAAAAAAAAAGAAAAAAAACACTTTCTGCTACACTTTTATACTTCTATTTTATTTATCTTGTGTGCTTTTAACCAGGTTTTGTATATAAACACTGCATTTCTCCCATTACTGAAGATGGATGTGGTTTTTAAACAAACCACTTACTGTAGTTTGGCTTAAAAATTATCTGGTATAAGAAAAAAAAATACCTCAAATGTGTGGTGAACTATGACTTGATGAATCCTAGAAGCCAGAAACCTCAGCATATATTTACTTCAGAGAAAAATAAAAACAGGCCCTGCTACAGTCCAAGTTGAGTTTAATAATATTGGCTGAAAAGGAGAGTGTAGAACTCACCAGTGCTAGTTACTATAATAGATTTTTAATTATTTTTCTTTCTGTAGTTCACTTGAAGTGCCTAATCCTTTCAGTGTTTACAGTTCATTGTAAAGGTTAGAAGTATATTCAGTAGCAATTGAGCATGGCTCATTTATTGAGTCCCAGGCACACTGTAGTTCTAGCTGTTTTTCCATGTGCACTGCAAGGAAAGGCTGAAACACTATGAAAATCAAAGCAAAACTAAAAACCTCCACAGAATATTTACTTAAAGAGATTTTTAATTTATTTTAACATGGTGCTTTTAAAATAAACTTTTATTAAATGGAACCAAAGCTGAAGTACTTTTCATGGAGTTACTTGCTTTGTTCCTCCCCTGCCCCCTTCCAAGCCAAGATGTTCCTCCTTCATTGTAGGAATTGAACTAGAAATAGAAGAATTTATCAAATATTGTGGAGCAGATGTTAGTAAGTACAAAAACTGGCTCACTGCTGGTGAGCCAATTTTTAAGAAAAAATGTGGACATTGTGCCTTTGCAAAACATATAGAGGGAAGTTGATGTAAGTCACTGGTACTATTTAATCCAAGAGTTGGTAAAAATAATGCTTTAGAGACAAACAAAAACATCATTTTAAATCGTTTAAAAGAAAGTGACTTTTATAGCACCAAAAAAAGCTATTATAGCTCTTAAAAATCATCACTGAAGGAATTCTCCTACATCCTTTAACACCATGGTTTTTGCCTTTGCAAATCATCCATGTGAATTTGTGGCACTGTATAAATATGTAGTGTAAGGCTGGAGAAAGGGAGGCATCATGAGATGTGAAACAGTTAGCATGAGGGAAAAACAACGGGCTTGGAACAGGTAGCATCACATAATGTTATGAGTGTGTGTGTGTGTGTGTTGGATGTCTCATTGGATCTACATGTGCCCTGTGAGCGCGGATCCACACAATGCATGTCATGCATGAGCAAGGGGTGCTACATGGCGCGGCAAGCAGGCGTGGTGCTGTGCCCAGAGAGTGGTCTGGGGGACACCCAGTGCTGTGCATGCGTGGTGGGCAGGGGCAGTGCTTGGCAGTGGAGCAAGCATGTTACTGAGATGGATATTGGTGTATGTTGCACAGAGTACAACTCTAAGAGTGCACGTGTAAGCAATGTGAGGGGAGGTGAGGCAATGCTACGGGAGGAGTGCTGCTGTGCTGCATCTACCTCAAAGGGGATTTGTTAATGAAATTGTCGGAAATGAAACTTCTGATAAACTTCAAATTTGAAAAAGATGATAAAAGAACCCCTTTCATCCCTCAGTCACATAAAGATGCTTAGGGTAGATGTGTCTTCTTTTCCCTTTTTTTTTTTTTTCTTTTTTTCTTTTTTTTTTTCCCTTTTCTGTTTTAAATTCTGTTGTCAAAATAGAACTCGTTCTGAGCAGATAACATTTCTGATGATTACCACCAGCGCTGTAAAGTCTGGAAGAAAATGCTGACATTTTTGTACTTAGAAAACAGGGTTTTGATGTGACTCATAAATTTTAAACAAAATGCATCTTAAAGAAAGTTTCTCATGAGATTATAAGTAAACAACTCACTTTCTAGCTACTGAATTTTAGTAATAAATTCTGAACTCACTCAATTTACAGGGAGACTTAGCCATATATTTTGATAATAGTAGACTTGCTATGAAGAGGCCATAGGAGATAGTAGAGGTATTGAAACACGTATAGTTTTATGATTGCAGTGCTTAAATTGCTTGTGAAAGGACATTTTCCTCTTTCAAATTCTGCAACTTGTTCACATTTGTGTTCATGACCACATAAGTTCAATAAATATTCCTATCATTTCTGTAATCCATTATTAGTTATACAGTACTCAGCGAACATTAGGTCATATCCCATCTAGGTTTTCCTCTGGGAAAGCACAACTTGCATAAATATTGTTCTCACAAACATCTGTATTGGATAGCAGGAAATGGAATTTTTGCAGTGTCCTTTATGAACATAAATGGGCACATAAATGCTTGCTTTATAATTACTATTTACAAAAAGCGCCACTCAGTAATTAGGAAAAGATATATGAGCATTTCATTTAGAAGGTAGCAAAGCAGACTAAGGAAGTTTAGAGTAAGTTGCCATGTAAGAGGATAGCCTTTCCCTTTGTATATGAAACTGATGAAACTGAATATGTCAAACAGCTGGTCTGTATAGCATTGTCCCCTTTCTGCTTCTTTTTCCTTTTAAGCTGTTACAGTCATTTTTCTTTCTTGTCTCATAGACTGTTGTTTTTTTAACAAGACACAGTCTCAAAAAATAAAATAACGAATGAGATATTGTTGTTTTTTGTCGACTGCAGACATTAGTGGAAGAACAGCAGTTTGTGACACAAGCTATAAAGTGGGCAATTTTATAAGGCATTGTCTAAGCTGAAGTTCTTTTACTTGGCACAGAGAGCGTTACATAAAAACACTTGCACTAGACTTCAGGCCACATTCAAAAGCTGGGGGATCCTGCACGGCAGTTTGTTTGCACAGCTGGGAAGCCATCAGCCCTCCCTTGTCCCAGCTGGCTGCTCGGCTCTTGTTCACCCCGGCAGCTGCATTGTGCCCAGCCATCCTCATGACTCTCAGTCCTCCAACCAGTAGAGGGTGCAGGAAGAGGGGGGCCTCTTCTAGGAGGTGTAAGTTGATTGAGATAAAATTTCTAATTTGTTGAGACACATTTATTTCTGGCTGAGGGTACAAGCAGCAGGACCCCAGAGCTCTGGGGGGACCAGAGTGCAGGAATTCTGTAGACCTGGGAAAGAGGATTTTTGTTTTGTTTCTATTTACAAGTTCTTCTTAATGGTAGGGCAGCTGAGGGGGAATTTTTTGACAGCTGCTCTTTGAATATATTTGATCAAATGGATTTCATTTCTACTGAGTTGCTCAGCATTTTAATAGCTGAGTGGAAAAATGGAAGCATTTACTGAAGCATTTATTGCCTTGCTGTGTCTCATACAAAGACAGCAATAAACATGGGGAAGAGTTGCTGTGCTGCTGTTGTGCATCCCTTCTGTATGTCCAGCATCCCTCTTCCCGCTTTCATCCCACCTCATCTTTTTCTCCAGGCACAAGTCCTATGCAAAAGCTAGCCAAGAGTATTCTGCACCTTTAAACAAAATCATTCTAAGTGCAATGAATGTATATATGTATTTTTTCTCTGATAGATCTCTCCCAGTTTTAACTACGAGATCCATTTGTGCAACTGTCAGCTGATTTTTACTAAAACTGTGTGTCTAAAAACAGAGGCTAGAAATGTAGTCCACAAAAGTGAGAAGGCAAGTTTGGATGAAGAAAGGATTTTTGAGGAATACTGTTCAGGGATTTCTTGGCACGCCTCTGCACATGCAGCTGTGATAAGGGCTGCCCTCAGCCCCAGCTTTAGAGCTGTGCAGACATCAACCTGCAAACAGACAGCAATGTTTCTTGTCCAGCAGGGTAACTGATACTGTGGTACGGCTGGACTAACTGGGGCTTTGCCATAGATTTTTATAAACAAATTCTCAAATCCAACCAAGTCAGCTGATATCAAGTCAGAAATATTTTGTTACGGAATTGTTAGCATTTTCATGCACGTCTTTAAAAATCAGTTTAAATCAAACATATTCCTCGAAGCCAGAAGTCAGAGTACCTTACCAGAATGTCAGTCTGAGCACAATAGAATTCATGACCAGAATAAGCTCTCTGTTTATCAGTTGCTATTACAAATGTAATTTTCTGCTCTAAACAAAAATTAATTAATCATTTTGTTTGATGCAGTAAGATTTGTATCTCTGTTGTTTTCATGAGCTGTGTTCAAAGCTCCGTGCTTACTTTTATCATTCAGATTGTTAAAATAATAGTGATGGATGTTGGTATCATTTCATTGATTTGAAAAGCTAGACCTTGCTAACATTGTCGGTTTCGTTGACTGTAACTTGACATACTCGTTCACTTCTGAGACCAACAAATCTGCTGAAAATTCCCTGCAGATTATTGAGAGATGATGTGAATAATGTTAAGTGTGTCCCCAAAGACTTTCACGATGGATATGCATAATCAAGCATGCAGTTCTCTACGCTAATTCTAATTACTTTTTTTCTTCTCTAAATCGCTAAGGTTCCCCAACCAGAGATGTAGGGCCTTCATTAGGTCTGAAGAAATCCAGCTCATTAGAAAGTCTGCAGACAGCCGTTGCTGAGGTGACTCTCAATGGTGATATTCCCTTCCACCGCCCCCGCCCACGAATTATCCGAGGACGAGGCTGCAATGAAAGCTTCAGAGCTGCCATAGACAAATCGTATGATAAACCTGTAGCAGATGATGATGATGAAGGCATGGAAACTTGTAAGTAAGCTATTGTTGTACGTAATGAATGCTAACAGTATCAGTCAATTCTTCTAGAAGGTAATTAAAAGAGATAGAAGATAATTTTAGGATTTTAAAAGAAAAGAGCTAATATCTCTTCCTGGATTTTTTTCAGGCTTTTGCCCCTCATATGCATTAAACAGATTGCAACACTCTGCAGCTTCCTTCCTTCCTAAAATAAGGAAATAAGATTATTAGGAGTGTGTTTACTTAAATTACTTACTACGAAAATTTTCTGTAAGGCAGCTAATTAATTTACTGATGTAAATTAGAAAAAAATTTACGCAGACACTAAAAAAACCCACTGAATTAATATTACAAAAATATGTGCATCTAACTTTGAAAGGGTACATTTGTAGTGTCTGGGGAAAAAAAAGAAATCACTGTCCTTTAATTAGAATGAGTAAGGCTGGCAGATCTAATAAAATAAAAAGTTAATGATCAGCTATTACCCACCCTAATGGGCATTCATTTACATTTTCAGTTCTTTAACCCGACGTATGACCCAACATGTGGAGAATGTCATTAACATAAAAGAATCACTTTAAAGCTAACCTTATCACTATTGAACTATGTAAGAATGGGTGGGAAAATGACAACTTATATTGAATAAAAATAGTGTGAATGGTAAATTGCCTCAATCAGGAGTTGTATTAAAATTATGGAATTTTTAACCTTCATGTTGTATTAGTTTCAACTTGTCACACACACCCGCAGAATTTTTTTTAATCAACCTGGAGCTAGTTAAAAGTTTATGAATGAAGAAGACGCTTGGAAAGCTGAGGTGGTAAAATATTTAGCCTGAATACTTGCAGAATAAACCTTGAAAAGTGACTTTGCAGTCTCTGTAGTTTCGAAATTTTTCAGTGTATTTCTGAAGTGCCATTCCATAGTATTCTATTGTAAGCTTACTCCTTTTATATTTTTCAGAACTCTTTTTTTTTTCTTTGCTTTTAATCTGTCTGTTAATAAAAGTGTTCTGAGATTGGAAGGGAGGTCATTCTTCTCAAGATAGTTACAGACAGAATTAATTCTGCTTCACTTTCACCATACCTAGCAGTTTCACAAAGCAGTGAGGTTAAATGCTGGTCTGGTGCTGCTGGCTGTCATTCTGTTTTTGGCCAGTAAGACAAAGGTATGAGAAAAAGTGTAATGGTCCTGCTCATTCCCCCAAACTGTGTGCCTATGGTCTTCTGAGATGTAACGTCAGGTTCTTCTAAAAGCCCTTATTTGGTGTGAGCCAACTGATAAAGATATCTTGTTTTGAGGCATCAGATATCCAGGGTTTATCCAGAAGTTACAGACCATTAACTTTGTTTCACCAAACCCACAGCAAAACTGTTTTCAAAAAATGTATTCTAGGTGAGTATGGGCTTATGAGATCTTTGTAAGATGTTTTGAGCTGATAGATGCAATGCATAGAGAGCAGAAAGAAAATATTTGGTGGTCTTTGTATTCTTTCACTGGAAGTAATGGAAACCAGGCAATTTTTCAGATTTTAAGTGAAATGCTGTGAGATGAGTCTTTGTCCTCATCTTTGTACGGATGAAGAAGTCTAGCATTGATGGACCAGGAGCCATCGCACTGTCATGGGAGAACAAGAGCAAGACTGTTCTCAAATCTCACCTGCTAAGGAAGGCCTGAAGGAAATATGACCAAGCTATATGCATGAAACTGCACGTTCTGTTGAAGTTGTGGGGTTGAATAATTTCCATGTATTACAATAAAACATCTAAAAAGTAATCCAGAAAGTTGCACTGCCAGTGTAATTGAAAGAGATGTGTAGTAAAGCAGTCGTAGTAAGTTCATTGGACTGAATTCAGTTCCAGGAACAGTGTTGAAGACCCTTTAGGTTTTCCCCTTCTTATGGTAGACAGGAGAGCTCAAGAGCTAGTCCAGCCATACGGGCTTGGGATCAGCTCAGAATGCTAATTTCCTGATGTCTGTCTTTCTGGGAACGTGCATGTATCTGTAAAAAACCAACTGCAGTCTTCCCAACTTTGTGTAAATTTTGTGTGGCTTCAGATTCCAGACAATTTGCCAAGTGATGTCTTCAGCTGGAAAAAGTCTGGGTACCTTTGAAAACATGGAAGTTGATTTAACAATCTGGTACTAGCCTAATGGCTCACTGCTGCCATAATGACATGGCATAATTTTTTTTTAATTGTGTTTAATTATTTCATAATTGTTTGAAATTAAAATGTGGCTTTCTTGTATTATAAAATCCAGGCAAACATGTTGGTGGTCAATTTGCTGATACCCTTGAGGTTGGAATCATTTGTCTTTCTTGATATGTTTTCTCTTTTTTCTCCAAATGTTTCAGTGCTGAGAGTGCTTTTTTTTCCAGACACTGCACTGCAATATATTTTATAGAGGAATTCGTAACATGTCATTACCCATATAAGAAAGCCATAAAACAGAGGTAGTACGTGTGGGAGAGAGGCCGACTCTCTTCTAAATGAACTTACTGTCTTTGCAAAGAAAAAAGTTATTAAATGGCTAGGAAAATCAGATAGGTGTGTCCTGTTCTGGGGCAATCTTTTAGTAGGTATGTGAGAGGATGTGTATGAATTTTAATGGTTGTAAATAAGTCAAATTTATGGAGAGGTATGAGTGTTGAACTATCAAAGGTCAATTTGCCTTATTTTCTTTTTCTCTCTTGTTTTTTCTTTCCTAAATACTTGAAATAGCTGACTGAAAGCAAAACGTTTATCTTCAGTGATGTGAATGAGAACAAGACATTTGAATTTGGAGAGATCAGCAAAGCTTTCTAATCTTTTGCTGAATCTTAATTGCAAGAATCTATGGCTGTATTAAATATCACAACAAGAGGCCTGGAAACTTAGTGACAAAATAGCTTCACGTTAAGCAGCTTTGATTCCTCATGTGCATCTTTTCCACTTTATGGCCTAATTAGGAGAATAGCTTTATAATACCTGTTTGTGTAGTTCTCTTTAGTACAGTGTGATTTATCAAATGACACTGGTTTTCAGCTTTAATTGATGCTTAAAGTATTTAATTTTTTGTCTTCAGTGTCCTGAATAGGGGAAGGGAGAAGGAGGGTGGAGGAAAAAGTAATAGTACCAGAAAGAATAAATTCTGTGTTATGCAGAAACCTAATGTCATTACTTCAACTTAACAAAAATAATAAGTTTCTTTTCTGCCTCAGCTTGAATTTTAATTGGGCAGCATTTGCATTTGTTCTAAATGCTAGTAATTAGGTGTATGTCAATTGCAGAGTGAATGTTCTGCATAAAAGTGGAACAAGTTTCTTCATGTTGTGCGTTTTTAAGAAACTGGGAATCCATTTACTCCAATGGAAACACGAGTGTTTATTCCAAGGGAACAGACATCCTGCTTCACAAGGCTCATTCGAAGCCATGGAATTAACTGTGATCAAAATGTATATGATAGACAAATATTTATTGCAGCACAACTGTGGAAAGGAGCCAATATTATCTCCATAGAATACGCAAAACAATAAAAGGAAGCATTGTTATGACAAGTAGTTCAGCAATCAGCACAGCACAATACATTTAATGCATATTTAGGCTTAAAATAGTGTATTGTCATATGAATATGAACAACCATAAAACAAATTTGTTTATCTTTGGAATTCTAGCAATGCAGTACCAAGAAAACAGACAACTTCAAAATTTGTCTGAGTTTTAGTTTTGGGTTTTTTTTAAAACTAATTATGTTTGTTTGCAAGTACAATCATTTAAATGCCTAGTTGGTTTAAATGGAACAGATTGTAGCTATAAATTAATATGCAAAAAATTTGCATCTCTATTCCAAAGTAGTTTTCCGCTACTGTTTTAATAACAATTAAATATCGTCCCAAAATTTCTGTAAGAAACACTTTCACCAAAAAAAGTCCAAGTACAGCTAATTCAGAGAAAGTTATAGGATATGCCTGTTAGTTTCCTAAAATAAAATTATCCAAATTTTAAAGCTGTGCCTACAACTGAGAAGTTGTGTCACCTGCTTATCTTGGAGCAGTCCAGAAGACAAGCTCATATGAATTGCCTGGAACTGTTTTTTTTTCTTTTGGTTGATTTGTACTTCAGAGTACTAGTTGATATTCCAAAACGGTTATTAATGTTATTACTTATCTGACATGATATGTTTCTCTTGAAAAATGTTTATGTGATCTTGCAGGGTTGAATAATATTCATAGAAATGCTTATTTGTTGAATTAGTCTATTGAGCAGGTCTGCATAGTGTCATATTAAAGAATAAACAGTGTTTTGCAGGCAAGTATCTGAGAAAGAGAACATAGAATATCTAGTGGTTTTCAGCTGGTGATTTGTAGATTCCTCAACTTCAGTGAATTACTAGTATGGCAAACATGAAAGATGAGTAAGAAGAGCAAATTTATATTCTACAGCATTCTGTTTATAAAAATTTCTGAAGAATTGCACACTTCCATTAGCTGTAAAAAGTCCTTGAGGTCTTCCAGTAACAGTAGTAACAATAATAGTAAGTATATATGTGCTAAAGTTAAAAATTATTCTTCCTTCCAGCTCTGTCATGGATTGACAGATCCATGTCTTTTCCCTTATTTTATATGTGTATATATAATATATGTGTAATATATATATATATATAATTATCCACATATAAAATAAGGAAAAAAAATATATATATATATATAGTTGTTCAGAACCTGTAAGAGCTACGGGAATCAGTGCAGAGTATGTGCCTGTGATCCTAATTGCTGCCTTGTGCTGTCTGTTGGAAAACTGGAAAGTGATGCAGCCCTGCTTATAATGTGATGAAATAAAATGTTAGAGCTCCTGGGAGATCACAGCTTCACCAGCCATGCGGTGTAGTTGTTGGACATGGCTTTAAGCTATGTCAAAATAGCTTCATGATTCTAACTCTCATGTTTAACATAATTTTCTTTCTAACTCACTAAACTGCTGGGGGAGTTTTTTGTTCCTGATTGGATTGTTTCTTTTGATCATTTTTATTTCAGACTTTCTGAAACGTGTATCCTGTTAAATTTAACCTCAGGTATACTTTAGGATTCTCTGAGTCTTGGTCTCGGATTAGAAATGGAGAAGAAACACATGACCTGCTCTTAAAATATTTTCCTTGTTCCACTGGGTGGAATCTCCCCACCTGAGCCTTCCAGGCTGTTCCATCTCAACCAGTATTACTGCTCTGGAAGAATAAAAGTTATGATGCATGATGTGTTTTAAACTACGCCAGGAAATGAAGTAGTGCAGCAGAATCGTTACGGTATATGCAGCAGAAGAAAAAGTCTATTAAGGCTTCTATTGAGGGTCAACAGTCCTTAATGACTTTCATATTTTTATGGGAATATTGCTAAGAATTTACTGATAGGGCATGCTACACAGCTGTTGTTTCTTCTTGCAGACATTTCTGAAGCTCTCCTCAACTGATTTAGACTCTGTAACAAAAGGATCCAATTAACATCACCTAATGGGGTTCAGTTAACATCTTCCCCGTAATCTATATGTCATTCAGAGTACACACAAAGCATGAATCAAGTTATACAGAATTCTGCAAAGATGAATTCCTTATCTTTAAGAGTTTATGTAAACACGGCCATTCCAAGAAGTCTCCAAACTAGTGAATACTCAATTTGAAAAAGAATGGAAATATCTTGCTTTTGTGCATATATCCTTCTTGGAAATAACTTATTCAATAAACCAAAAAAATCTGCCTTTGTTGTTTGTTCTTATTCTATGTTGTTTCTTTATTTGTGCTTTCAGTGGAGGAAGACACAGAGGAAAGTTCAAGATCTGGTAGAGAATCTGTTTCCACAGCAAGTGACCAGCCATCCCACTCACTGGAGAGACAGATGAATGGAAGCCAAGATAAAGGCGACAGAAAAAAGGCTGGAAAAGAAAAGAAAAAAGATCGAGATAAAGAAAAGGATAAAATTAAAGCAAAGAAAGGAATGCTGAAAGGTTTAGGAGACATGTTCAGGTAGGTGCTTTGCAATTGATTATGAAAATAATGAATCTTCATCTTTTATCTGTTGGTTTCTGTGTTTTTAAGTAGTGTCATGAAAAAGAAGCAGCTCAGAGTGGAAGAGAAGCTGCTGGCTAGCAGGCTGAAAGGGCTGCAAAAACAAAGCAGGTTTTAAGCATTCACGCTGCCTGATCTTGTAAAGAGTCTTTGGTGATATCTAAGTAATGCACATATCTCTTGCCAGATCAAATATTTTTCTTTTCTTTTCTTTTTTTTTCTTTTCCTCCCCTCCCCTTCCCTCTCCTTCCCTCCCCTTCCCTCCCCTCCCCTCAATTTTTTTTTCTTCACAGTTTGTGTTGTTTTAATCCTGTACCCTAAGCTTACATGCTACAAAATGAGTGGATTTTTTTATTTAGCTATTAAGACTATTTTATATCATGGAGGTAAGATGGGAAAGAGATGAATCAGGTTGAGATTGAAAAACAGCAGGCTCATCTTGAGGAAATCAGGATCTAAATAAGACTGTGTGCTCTGAGAACCCACAGTCTGGAGAAAGGTCAGTGAAAGACCTGCTTTTTTTTACCAAGTACTGTGCTTTTTAAAGTAGTCTTCTCTCCAGCAGACATAAGTGATCTGAAAGGAGCAGACTGCTGAGGGACACCCTGCTGATCTGGGTAAATGGTGAAACATGACAAACACCTTTGATCACTTCTGGGAAGGGGTGAGAGAGTAAGAAAATCAGTCTTTCTTTTAGCTAGCTAATGTAAATAAATGCATTTTCAAGAAAAGAGAGATTATATTGAGGCAGTGTTTGTTTTCTTTCATATATGCAGTGTTTCATTATTTAATTTGAAGTGAGATACCAGAATTATTTTGAAGATTTATTAACAGTGATTCTTCTCTCAAAGCATTTAAGCAGAGCTTCCATTAACATAAAACTTGTTATCATCTTTATCGTGCAATTGAACTTTGGCTGTTACTGCTAAGCTCTTTGAGAGTTGTTCTGACTGTGAATGGCAGCACAAAATTAGTTAACTTAGGATCAAAAAAACTGGAAAATAATAGAAAATTTATTTGGAAAACATGGAGTCATATCAGGTTGTTAGGCAGCCCATGCAACAGCATACCAGAAGTGTTATAAAAGATGGCTTCACACATCAAAAGGAGGAGAGTAACTCGCTGCATCAAATAGAAGTCCTACACGAATACCTTCATTTTCTTGGTGTTTGCCTGACTAAGTCAAAACCTGGAGTAGAGTTGCATCACACTGCTGGGGTGGAGGAGAAGATTAGACGTACGAAATGCCACTGATTCTTTTCTGCACTTTGCCATTTTTCTGTAGATTTGTTTTGGGATAGTTCGTCTCTGGTGTAAATGGCTATCTCAATAGGAATAAACAGGCAAAACAGCAGCAAATCATCCATGACAAATTTGGTTGTGAGTAAATAGCTTATGGATAACTTGACTGCTGCCTGGTGAGCTCAAGTTCAGCTAGAAAGTATTACACAGCATCAAGAAAGCAGGGCAACTCCTACTTAATGTTTCTGATGCCCAGTGGACCTGTGAGACAGCTGCCACACCGTGCAAGCTTTGGTACACAGGCAAAGAATGAACCTGGGGAGAGTGCCCTCCAAACAAAGGAGCCTTTATTTGTTGGGGAACCAGGCAGTCCAGGGCTGATTTACTGCTTTATGCCCTCTGGCATTAGAGCCTCCATGTGTTCCAGAACAGCTTTGAAATCTCTAAATGGAAATGAATCCAAAAGTAGCAATTAATACCAGAAGCAACATTGTCTGTATGTTCAATACAGTAGTCCTGAAATCTTTAATCTGAAAACTATAATTTTGCTGATAAGAAGGCCTGATGCTGGCTTCGTTGTATGCTCTTCATAACTGCCAGTGTTTGAGTTATTTTTCCCTCAATACCATTTCTATGTGAACTTTACTTTTTAGTCTCCTCTTAATTAATGTGGGAGCAGTGCTACCTGGATGCAGTTCTGACTCCTCCTGGATCGTTAAATTAGCTTGCACCTTGTCAGCCCACCCAGAAGAGGTGCTTCTGGCAAACAAGAAAATGCTGATTGAAGGAATTAAGCATTATGCCTCATTTCCACTTTGTGCTCAGATTTGCTTTGCTGACAGGCTTCTCAATAATGTTTGAGAGAGAGACTTTATTATGTCTGTAAGATAAACTACTACTTCTGCCTATATCATGCTTTGTTTTTCTGTTTATCTGACATACAGATATCAAGTAATCAGAAGATGTGGTGCAATAAAAAATAATGATGACAGTAACATTCGAAATTCAAGCCATGATCAAAGCATAATTGGATGTTTTGGTTCTTTGCAACGTTGTGATTTCTTTGTAGTTCTTTTTCTTCTTTTTCTTTCTTCCTTTCCAGTGCTCTTATTGTAAGATAATCTTTCTTCATTGAGTTGTAAGGGCAAGAACACTTGCGGGGTGAAATTGCTGTTAACTGACACACCAATGTCTGTATTTAGCCAAGGGGCTTTTTACTGCCTATATGCAAACTGACAGCTTCTAAAGTGAAGTCTGTGTAATATCTGAAAGCAAGCTACTTGCCTTCAGTTAAAATCTTAGGATTTGGTACTGGGATCTTCATTAAACTGCACTATGAGATGGAAATTTCCACAAGGGGACCCAAGGTTGCATTTATCCTAGAGCATCCAGTCATCATTTCCAAGATCTCCTGATGATCAAGATATCAGGTTAAAATCATAAATAAACCTTTTAAGTACTTGCATTGTTTTATGGCTTTCATCAACCGGAGTAGAGAAGCTTGATGAAACCACGAGGGAGAACTGTAAGGTGCAGTTCTATGAGACACCAAACTTCCCTCACTTCCAAAGGACCTTCACTCACACTGGGCTGTGGAAAGTCTGATATTTCACCCTTCTCTCTGTGAAATAAATCTGAGTATGTGCGCATTTCTTTTTTCACAGTGACATTTCAGAGCAGAAGAGAATAATATTTATAAATTTGACATTTGGCTTAATGTCCCTCTTTCTGCTCACAGATAAATATAGACTGTAAATAAAGCCAGAGAAGTGTTGAACGGAAATGTTGATCTGACACACCAGCCTTGGTGCTGCTTTGAGCTGCTGCAGATCTTATACCAGAACATATCTTTGTTACCCAAGCAGTTACATCATTGCCCTGACTTTCTTATCCGTGCAGTAGGATTATGTGTTATGTCCTCTGGCTTTAATGGTGTACCACGGAGAGACTGTGCAGTTCTATCTTCTCCACTGCTGACATTCAAGGGCCGTCTGGATGGCCACTGACAGCTTAGCAAATGGTTTTTGGGAAGCTGATAAAAAGTTCTGCTAGTTTTTGCTTCTTTACTAGGAAGGCTTGAATGGATGCATGTTTTGATATCCGAAGATTGCAAAAATCTTTATTCTCCACAAAGTGCAATCTAAAATATATATTTACTCACTTCTGAGTCTCTATTTCTGTAGAGATTCTGTTTCTTGATGAAATGAACCTGACAAGAACAATCCGTTGATAAAAAGGTCTTTGTAGTGGTGCATTAGGCAAGACGCTTTATGGTTTCAAGCAGTGCGCCTATAATTAGTGCTGGTAGGGATACATTAATTTGATGGGCTTCTCTGTTGTGCGACTCTTTGACATTCCTTTCCCGTGAGAGAAAATTGTGTGTGCCATTTTCTTTTTCTCTTCTCCTGTCAGGTACAGCATGTTTTCACTTACGAAAGTGGGGACCCTTGGGATACAAGACAGGATAAAGTTTTTAGCTGTGTCACTAAGACCAATGAAGTAATGGGTCACAAATGAAAGAATTGTAGCTCCAAATCTTTAACCAGCATCCACCTGTAATTTTCTCTGTAACAGACCCAAGCCAAGATTTTGTAATACAGTAGCATCACTGTAATTATGTCACTGTTTTTTGGAATTTATTTCATCTGCGAGGAAGCATACAATCATGGTCTTACTGGGGAGTCTGTATGGGAGAACTCTCACTGGAGAGTTTTATAAAAAAATGTCTGGCAAGTGGTCAATCTCAGGAAAGGATGTATCTGAAGTACAGCATAGTTAGAAGAAGCTGATCTACTAAGATGTTGAGAAAAAAGCGGAAAGAAAAACAACTTTGGGTTTCCAAAAGGAAGAAGAGGAATATTAGCCCATCAAATCTTGATGAAAAAATACTGGAGGGACAATCACTATGACAAATAGATCTGAAACAAATTGACATCTATACAATGGGATAAAAATGAGTTTGCAAAAACAAAAGTTATGCTTGAGTTTTTTGGCCAGCTGCTGAGGACAGTGAAAGATGCTGTGGGGAATATACCTTTGTATCTTAATACTGGGTTTAAGCAAGAAAATATTTACATTGGTTTTGGAGGTTGCTTATGAAATGGGTGTCAGGTACTTTGAAACAACTGTGGTTAAGCAGTTATAAGAAGTGGATACGTTTCTCCTGTAGATTAATACCTCAACCTCACATAAACATAGCTTTTAGTGGGGAAGGAAAGCAATGGGTGTTGAAATTTGTGGAACAAGACACTATGCTAAAAAGTAAATATATGCATAGGTGTTCTTAGTACTGGAGACTGTGTATTTCAAGATCTGTTCTGTCATATTCATGGAAATGTAAATCTGTGATATGTGGTGACTAATCTTCAATTCCTCTCTTGATTTTGCAGCATACAGGTAAGTAAATCAATGCACTGGTAAGCCAATGCAAAAGTAATATTCTCAGATTACCATTGAAACCTAATTCTAAATTACTAAATTAATTTAAAAGTGATTAATGGGAGCCTAGTATTTTTTTTTCCTAGTTCTGTGAGAACAAATCGATAACTTAGTTTCCATCCTTGTTTCGCTGAAAGCAGGTATACTGTTGTCTTTTCTTCTCCTTCTTTTCCACACAGCTACTTCCAAGGTACAATGAACATGTACCAATTCATAATACTAATGTTTGTAGCTTTGAATTATACCTTTCAATCATGTTAGCCATCTGAGACTTCTGGCTGAACATATGGGAGAATAACCTACAAGGATTACTGTTGTGTTTATATGACTTCCTTGTACTGTCTACTCAAGTTTCTCATCATCAGTAATGTCTGTAAAAAAATAAAAAGCAAATTGAGAGGGTTTGTTTTGGTTTAAACTGGCAGGTGGCTCAGCTCCATAAAGTCGTTTGCTCACTCCCCCTTTCTCAGTGGAATGTAGAACTCGTGAGTTGAGATAAAACTATTTACTAAGATAGAGAAAAGGAAAAGGGCAATCCTTATTAATATATATCCATATATATACATACATCTATATATGTATATGTATATAGATAAGAGTGTGTATAGCAAGTAACGCACAAGCAATTGCTTACCACCCTCTGACTAGCCCCCAGTAAGCAGAAGAGACAAGACAAACTCCCCCTCCCTTCAAAGCTGCTTCCGCATGTTGTCATGTGATATGGAATACCCCTTTGGCCAATTTAAGTCAATTGTCCTAATTCTGTTCCCTCTCAGCTCCTTGGGCTCTTTGCTGAAAATGGCCTTGGCTCTGTACTTTGCTGCTTAGCAGCAGCTATAAACATTGGTGTGTTATCAGCATTGTTTTTCTCCCAGAACCAAAACATGGCATCTTACCAGACATTTTGAAGAAAACAATTCCATCCTAGCTGAAACTAGAATAAGTTTATAACACTTATTTAGTAATTACCTTATTTTTCATTTATTTAATAACAGCTTTCAGACTTCTAAGCAGGCTCGTGACAAGAAGGTGTCTGAGTTGTGTAAAATACTATTGAATTATACCCCAATCAACAGGACTAGAAAATACTTTGAACTCAATAAAATAAAACTTGTGGACTGATTTTCATCATTCAGCAGCTTAAATAGCAACAATAATAGTATTTTCCTTGGAAGTGTGACTAACAGACTTCATACTGGTGAACAACACCTGATAAATGAATTTGACTGAAAACAAGGGAATGAGTTTCAGAAGTTGGAGTTCTTTGGTTTTTTTTAGTGTTCTGCTCATGTCACTAAATAGAATAAATTTTCAGTCTTAGAACATGAAGTAAGAGGTTATTGCTTAAACACCAGTCTGTTGTATCACTGCAAACTTCAAAGATCATTGCTTGCACACTGAATCACTCCTGGCTTTGCTAACAGTCATCTGAGATCATTCTAGGTACTTCATCAAAAAAAGTTGAGGTGGCTCAGGTAAATGGAATCTGGGACCATTTGTGCTGTTCTTTACCTGTTTGTTACTGCTCTGTGTGCCAGCTGACAGACCCTTCATTAAATCCACATCTGCTTCTCCTCTTCTACCAGCTAAGAAATGTGTGTGTGACAAACTACAATCATAGACACAAGGTATATGCTCGCTTTTCAGTTTTGAAAGGAGGAGCGTAATCCTTGTCCTGACTGCAAGTTGGATGCTGTTAATGACACTTTTGTTTGCTTTGCTGCTCTCAGCTAATTCTTCATGATCTATTTTCAAAGTTTCAGCCAGCTCCTGGGATGTGGAGTCAGAAGAGCTTTTCAAATGGAATCAGCCATGCAACAAATTGTCATCTTTGATGCAGACAATTACCCAGGACTCTTGTAAATGTCTTTCAAAGTATTTTCATATTCTTTGCTTCCTTCTTTCCAAGTAGAAGTAAATAAAGGATGGAAAGAGAGAAGCTTGATTGGAAATAGTTTTTCTTTTTAGAAGGACAAATGATACTCCTTTATTCCTCTCCACATTTTTTTCCTGCGTGTGTAATCAGACATTTTGAGGAGAAATGTGTTTCATTGCCTTCATCCCCAAATATCCCATGGTACAGATGTTTATGACTAAAATGTAATTGGGGCACTGGGCAGTGGAATGGCAAATTCTAATTTCTAATCCAAACAACCTTGCATAATCTGTCAGGGATTTGAGGAATGCAGCTTCATTAAGTGGTTAGTAAGCTGTGACTTTTACATGAAACACAGAGAACAGTGGTATGCAATTGTGAGAGAGAGAGATCTGAAATGAGAGATTAACGTAATCGTATATGGCTTTCTAGTTTGTCATTCTGATAGAAAGCAGTGCTTTGTAGTATGTACTCCTAATGCTACATTTTTCCATAGTAAGTCTTGAACTTGTATATCTGATGGGAGCATGTTGTGTGTTTTTTAATTTGAATAGAATCAGAGCTTTTGTTTCGAGCATCCTGAATTAAGTGCCAGGATGACCTGATACTAGAGACAAGTTCATAGTAGCTGCTAACATATTCTCCCAGTATTCTTCCTTTTCTTGTCAGTGAGTTTAAATAGAGAACCTTTGACATCTACAGCACCGTATCTGACTGCAAAGCAAGTGAGGGAGTCACGCAGTGTGACAGCTGAGCCCTCCAAGATCCTTCCTGGCGTTCTGCAGCATTTCTCTTCCAGACCTGGAGTATGAATATAGAAAGCAAGTGTCAAGGATGACGCCTACTTTATAATCTCTGTAAAGCAAGCCTTTTCGTAGAAGAATTTGTTGACAGTTCAGAGATTCAAAGTCAATTTCAGTTTTAGCTTGTATAGAAATAGAATTTCTCCTCCACCTGATGTGATAATTGAAGACTACTAACTAGTCAGCATGTTAGTCCCTAACAAAGTACGGTAAATAAATACTGTCTGGGGACATGAAGGATGTGTTAGATGAAAACCTTTATTAACAGTATTTGTTTCCTTATTTGTTGGAAATGTTCTTGGAGGTTTTAAATTGCTATTGATAATATTTTATATTGATAAGGGTTACAGATGATTTGTCTGCAGACTGTTTTTAAAACTGAGGGTTTTTTTTTTTTTTGAAATCTTTCTTAAAAACAGGAATAGGAAAATTGTCTCAGAAGGAAAGTAGTGCGACTTGACATACTTTTGTAGCACAAGTTGTCTCAGGCTGTCATGTGATAGTCACTTGAAGTACATAAGTAGGTAGCTGCAGGAGAGCTGATCCTTCTCTAAAAGATGAATCACTCACTGCTGTGTCTCACTTCTTGTGAGCAAGGTGGATTCATGGTGTATGTGAATGGTGGTGCCTCCTAAGGTTTCCATGTGTCTTACCGTTGTGCAATGAAGTAATCATTAGAGACAGTGTTGTAAAACATTTCAGTGAGAATGGCAGGATAGGTATAAGCCAGTATGATTTATAGAATGAAACATACTGGAATAGAAATAGTCTGTGAGACCATACATTTCCCTGAGTGCAGTAAGAAAACAGTGGGTATCAGGCATTCAGAGGACTTATTTAGGCTTTTAAGTTGTTTCATAGAGAAATAAGAGGAACAAAACTTTTGTAAAATGACAAAGAGAAAAGCAGATAATAGAAACACAATGCCCCTGAGATGTGCAAGTAGTATTTCCCTCACTTTGAGTCCTTTTATCAGTTCTTCTGAAGGAAAAAATAGAAAAATGAGGGAAAAACAAAGGGGACTGTATTAAGAGGAACTGAACAGGCTTTGAAATAAAGCACTGATGGAGCAGTTTGGGCAGGAAGGGATCTCTGTTTGCTTCAGCCCTGCTCACAGCAGTCCAGCATCCACGTTTCATCAGCTTACTCAGTCTCACACCCAGTTAAGCTGCAAATATCTCCTAGGATGGAGATTTGACAGTCTCTCTCAGCAGCCTGTTCCAGTGCTTAACCACTCTCCAAGTGAAAAGTATTTGTCCTTGGCTAGAGGAGGTAGGAACAAGACTCACTGAATAATCAGATACAAAAAATCTGAATCAATTAACATCTACTTCCCATGAAGCACAAATGTTAATCCAAAATAAATTTTTCATCTAAAAAGTTTAAATTTTAAAGGATTTTTGTGATGCATGATTACCCGAGGAACTTATTGGCTCTGCATTTTCTTTAAAGAATGCAGTAAATCATGTGGCTAAGTGTATGTTTGTAACTGTGAGCCGACCACTGTATCTTGGGTGTTAGGAAAGAATTTACTTGTAAACAGGTCATATTCACTGAGCTTTCATGCATCTTACACTGGCTCATCTTGGACTGGCAAGTTCTAGGACACCAAGCGTGACAGGCTAATACGATACCCGATAGTGCCTGATATGATCCACTGAACTAGAAAAGATGATTATTTTCTTTGAAACTGAGGAAGAAATTCTACAGAAATCTTCCTTGCTGTTATTTCTTGCTATGCTGGAAACTAAATTAAAATCATAATTCTGTTGCATTTATGCTGATATTTTTTGCTTTTATCTCAACGTACAGATACCAGGTAAAACCCTGAGCATTTGTAGTCCATTCAGTCACAGAGAAGGTGGTTTGTATTACTTTTGGAGGAGGAGATGTTTTTTAATTCTGTTTGTGTTCAGCACTTTCTGTAGAGTTTTGCGGAAGAACATAAGAATGCAGCCATATCAAGTTGAATAATCCCTGGTAAGACCCTGCTCTCCAATACTTGGTCTCCAGTGATGGTCAGTAGCAAACAAGGGTGGAGAGCCAGAACAAGGTAACTGTATGCCAGTTCTGCTCACATCTGTCTTCTGGGCTTTCAGTGATTAGCAGCTGAAGGATTTTTTGAGACAAGACACAGGTATCCTTGCATTTGAGTATAAAATAGGGTGTGTGTATTCCATTCTTTGCAATTTATCCTGTAACAGTATTTGTTATATGGTTACCTGATTCCCAAGTGCTAAAAATATCTGTTGTGTCATATACATAATTATCTTTTGAAGATCACATAGAACAACTTTCGTATCAAGAAACTTTTAAATGATGAGAGCAAGAACTTGATTGCAATGCACTGCAGTAGATCTGACTCATGATATGTCAGTGTTTTATGGCTTTCAGGTAGGCATGTTTGCAAAGTATACCAGTAAACCTTTTTGATGTGCAATAACATTTCAGTAGTTAATGTAGTGCGTATTAACTTTTACTGCTTCTGTGCAGGCTTACAATAGGCAAGAGGGTAAGAAAAGGCTATAGTTGTTTATAAAATAGACCCTGCAGAGATAGATTCATTTTTACGGTGTATGTTTGGGCTAGCTGATGATGTGACTAGTGGTAAATCTGGAAGGGTTTGCTTTAGCAGAAGATAAATTCATAGTCTCTACAAATTCTCTATTTTTAATGCCAGTCTTGTAGCTTCTACTCATAAAAGGAAGAAGAACATAGTATATTTTCTTGGAGCTACTTAATGGTCTTAATGATTTGCAATAAATACAATTGCATTGCACCGATATATCTGTTTTAAAGGATTTAAATTACATGTTGAAAATATGTTAGTAATGCTGTACTGGTAGGAAAATTGTTAGAAATATTTAGTTTAGCAGATGTATGAGCTGTATAGATCCAGTCTTGTTAGAGAAATACAAACAGTGGCTGAAGTCATTTAAGCTTCAAGGAAGAACTGTTTCTCATTGTAAAAATGGGATAGTACCTAGTCCATGATAGAGTTTTCAGGAGCTTTGATGCCCTGTGGTGTTTCCTGCAGTGAGAAATACAAAATATTTATATGCTGAAAGCATACGCTACACATGGCTTCTAGACACTGATATTGAGTTTAGTTCACAAGGTGACTGTGCTTTTTGGACAATTGCAAGTATTTGTAGATTTCATTTCTTTCAGTTATAGGTAGTGCATAGTGGGAAAACTGAAAACTAATCAGAAACAAAGTTTACGGTAAGTTTGGGAAAACTGAAAACTAATCAGAAACAAAGTTAATGGATTAGCTCTACAGAATTCTGCAAAAAAAAAAAAAAAGAAAAAAGGATTTAGTAGCAAAAAATGCATCTAAAATCTTAGTTGTATCATTATTTTTAAGTACCACAGTGATGAACGTGATACAAGTGCTTCTAACATATTCAATGCCAGGTGTGGCAGCAGTATTTGCAATGCAAACTGAATTGCTATTACACATTTCAACAGCAGCATACCACAAATAAATCTCAAATATTTCACAATATTATTTTAGATGCTATCTTTGTCTTTAACCCGTAGCACTAAAATCCTGAAACTCAGAACACAACATGCTTCTACAAGCATCAGTTTCATGTGCAGTGTAACAGACAAAGCGTGTGTTTCCTCTGATCTTGCTGAGCAGGTGATGATACCAACATTACTATCATCAGTAACTACTGGGATTCTGATACCATCTGTGGAACCTGAAATACTTTGCTAATTCTTTTTTTAGCCTATAATGAAAAAATGTTGTGATTTTTTGTTGTTCATTTTGTATTCTGAAGAAACGTGAAAATGGCAGTAATGATTGCTGTGTGCCGTGTGCAGCACTGAGCACAAGCAGAGCTGATCTCATCTCAGGAAGAACATCTCAGGAGGTGAATATCTTTGATGTCAGGACTGAGTTTATTTTAAATATAATCCGTCTCATTTTCTAAACAAACATATGCCCAGTCACTCATTTCTTATAGTGCCTGAACTTGTACAAATGAGAACAAAAACACCAGTGTGCATGGGGCTGGTGCCAGGCTTAGATCTTCTGTGCTAGGAGCTTATTTACACAGAAGCTGGAACCAGAAATCAAACCTCACCACCACACGTCTCTGCAAGTCCTTTGTGCACGTTTTCCATCTGAAATAAACCTTTGCTCCCAGACTGGTCTTGAAA